GGAACACACAGTAAGCCCCCCTGCCCCTTCCGGGTCAGTATGGCTTGTCATTGGCAAGGCACATCTGAACGTCTATTGATAGAATGCTACCTCCAGCATGGAGAGCATCATAAAACCAGGCACTTCAGCAGTTCTCAGTAATGTCTACTGTAAGAAAATAGAGACAGGTTGCAGACCAAACACTTTCTTACATGAAGGAGTCTTAGAGACATTATTAGAAATTGTGTATTCTGAAAAGCTATGCATGGCTTTCAAAAATTTTTATACCAAATTAAACTATACTTTAGTTCCATTTTCTACTGACTTTGTAACCCCTTAGAGACAGAAGGAATTTTAAAAACCTAGAAAATTAGCAGAGAATGACATCATGCTCCATACCAAAGATCTGTGACCATCTGGAATCTCAGACACCAGAGGTAGAGCACTGGGGCCAAGAGACTGTTATCTCTAGTTCTGCCTCCACCAGAAGAGTTTTGTGACTCCAAGTTAATGAAGACCTACTATTATATTATTCAGGACTTACTAGTGCCAGGTCTCGTGCAATTCCTCAATGGGATATTACCATCATAGCCCACAACGACCTTATGAATAGGGACTGTCATTAGCGAACTTCTTGAAAGTTAAGTAATTTAACCCAAAGTCAGAGATAGTAAAATGTAGAATTGGGTCCGAACTGAAATAGTCTTAGTTCCAAAAGCTGCACTTTAACCCCTTTGCATATGGTCCCAATGCTTGAGTACATGTAAATCTGTAAAATAAGGATTCTGACTGGACTGGAGGGAAACAAGGATGCTGACTGGTTCCTCACCCCTTCCAATTTCACCTTTCTATGGTTCCAAATTAAGATTTCTATCCAAAGAGTTGGCTCCATAGTAAGAAAGCCTGATCACACATAGCCAACTGCAGTTCAAATCCCAGCCCCTGGGGCTTGAAACACACACCAAGAGGGTTTGTGTACATGCACAAAATCCCAACAGGATAGTAAAAATGGAGGAGAAGGGATGTAGCATAACCACAACCCACTTCGGGGAGTCCTTTCCTTTCTCTTTCTCTCTATCTCTCTCTGTCTTTCTGGCAGATTCTCCCTGACAAAAAAAAAAAAAAAAAAAAAAAAAAAAAAAAAAAAAAAAGATTTCTATCTCTGTAGTGCTTCTTACTTTAAAATATATTCATTTATTATTCCATGTCTGTTTACAAGTGGGTAGAATATGTGTGATAATACACAACCATCAGATAAGGAGGCACCTGGGCAGATAAAGAGTTGTTCAAAATCGCCAAGCTAGAAAATGGCATTGTAGGGTCATTCTTATTGTTCTCCCCACACACAACAAATGTCCATAAATGTGTTATATAAAACCTCAATTCCGTTTCACAGAAACACATTCGGCTATGTATCTGAAAGTCAACCCTTATCTGAGACCATGAAAATGCTTCTAGGCCAGAGGGAGAGAAAGGCAGTATATCTCACTAAAAAAGAAAGAGAGAAGTGAAATATAATATAGCTGTCCATGCTTCACATTTGTAAAACTAATGCCAAGTTTTGATAACATCTGCATCTTTTGTTATAGCCACAAAACCGAAAACTATAATACTATGATAACATGTTGGGTTTGCATTTCTAAGAGATTCACGTATCTCTAAGGAGTTACGAAACCATACATCAATCCATATGCACAGGCAATTTAGAGCAATGCTAGCTGCAAATGGATCCATCTAAAAGGCAAATTTCAGATCTTGTCTGGGCTGGAGAGAACTACTTCCCAAGTGGGCCTAAAAACTTCCCTGAGATGCTCAAACGTTAGGATCCACCTAAATCCTTCAGGAAGCTTGCAAAGATGCAGGTCTCCAGGTTCTGATCCTGCAGGTAAGCCAAAGGATCCTATAACCTGCTCTTTTCAATGAGCACTCTCAGTAATTCTGATACCTGCAGGGCTGAGACTACCTTTGGAGAAACACTGCAGTTGAGCTGCTAATGGAATAACCCACTTCATGGTGAGCAACAGAAGGAAGTGTGTGTGACTCCTCAGGCCTTGCTAGGGCTGCATTCCAGTGGTGGCTTTCACTAACCACACACAGCAAGAGAGTCCTATCTGAAGGTGATACTCCTAGCCCCCACATTTGGTTGGGGAATAAAATGTAGCCAGATATTTTGAAAACAAATGAGAAATAACTACTAGTTATTTATTACATTTCAACACTTAATGTCTCATTTCCTATTTTGCCCTGAGATTCATTCACTCACTTTACCCATCTAGATATCTCTGAACATCCAGTGTTGGAATTGCCCAATCTGTCAATAAGGTAAGAGTTTTCTAAACTACTATCCATATGACTCAATTTGTCAGTAAAAACTGCCACCAGCGCTGTGCTTGCAGAAAAATGTCCATAAATGCATTATTGCAACTGGCAGATCGATGTCTATAATAAAAACAAATAGATTTAACAAGTGCCTGCTTTTACGAGCCACACCATTGGTGGACTATGCATTCAGTGTCACCCCCAGACCTCTGGGAATGGGCGATAGAGCTGGGGCTGGATACTTTGCTGATTTCACGAGTGTTATGGGTAAGAAATTATTCCAACAAGAAAATCTTAGAAGTAGTAGAGTGAACATACTAGGCATTTATTGCTCAAAATTCTTTTCATGGTTATACACACGCACAACAACAAACTTAACAACCATAAGAAAATGTGTTTATAGAATTTTTAACTGGTTTTATGACAGCTATATCACAGCCCAAAAGAGTTTACTCCAGGTGGGGTGAAGGGGACATGAGGCTTCCTTGGAGAATCCAACTCTATTGCGAAGCCATTGATGGAACTGAAAACAGCTTGCAGTGTCAGAACAAGTTTTGATATTCAACATGTGGCCACGGGTGTCACTGCTGTGTCAGTGACCTGTGGGACAATTTACTTCAACATGTGGTCAAGGGTGTCACTGCTGTGTCAGTGACCCAGGGAGCAGATAGCAGGAGAGTGGCTGCAACAGACTAGCTTAGTTGCTAGCAATCTTTACACAAAAATATTGGGAAGACACACACTGTGAGCCACATCTACCAAAGCTACTCTGATTGCTACAAAGGTTATAAAATAGACACAGATGGAGGTGATGAAGAGGAGGATTGGACTTAACAGATAGCCTACAGGTTTGTATTTTGGTTTGTGTTTAACCAGTCTAATTTTTTGCTCTTTACCGTTCAACAGCTTAACATTCTGCTATAAACAGCTATGGCTCTGGCCTAAGCAGCTCCCTGCTGTCTGATGATGATCCAATCAAGCACAAATTGTACACATAGATACTAAATTTGTTTTCCAGGGCAGAAAGCGTGCTTCTGCACTGAGGGAACTTACAGCAAAAACCATTCTTAGAGTTCAGAAAATGATACACCCAAGGAATGAGGAATACATAGTTTAGAATTACTCTACTGTATTGTCACCAACTTGGGAATTATGATGCCAAGGGTAATGGCTCTCAAACACAAATTCCTCTCCTTTACTCTCAAGTATGTATGTTTAATTAGGCTGTAAAATATACAAACACTAGCTCTGATAACCAGGAAGACTATCATTTGGTAGTCCTCTCACCTCAGATAAAAAGGAACTATGGAATTCTGAACGAGGAGTTAAAAAACTAAGTTTGCTGCAAAAACGGCCCAGGCAGGAGCTTCTGGAAGCTCCTTTGAACAGATGGTGGGGGGAGAGACAGCCCACAGGACGCTGGTCAACAGTGAAGTACAGGCAGAGAGAGCACAGGTCAAGGTGTTGACCCTTAGGAGGTGTGGCAAGGGTCATAACGATCCCCAGCCCCCACCAGCCCACTGTCACGACAGTTCAACTTGGTCCACGAACTCCACACCCAAGGCAAGCCAGGCACACCTGGGCACAGTTGGGAGGCATCTTGGATACACGTGGATCCCATCTGAGGTGAATGGGCGTCAGGGAAGTCCCCCAACGGCGAGTGGAGGGCTCCCGTAGGATCATTGGAGCCTGTGACCGTCCCACCAGCTCCAGACGCCCGCTCTCTTCAGCGAGAGCCCGACACTGCGCCGGGAGTGAGCCAACCCAACACTCACCAGGTAACAAACGATGCAGGCCGCGATGAGCAGCGAGCGCCAAGATGCAAACTTCTAGGAGGGCTGCCCAGGCAAGTACCCTGTGTGCGGGGGCGGAGCCGAAGTCTATGGGCGTGGTTTGGTTGCGTGGGCGGGGTCTGGGCGGGGCCGGAGCGCGTGGGCGGAGCTGGGACACATAGGAAGCGAAGGGCGAAGGCGGGGCATGCTAAGCACAGGGGCGGAGCCCAATTTGTTGTCGAGGTGACAGGGAGGGGCTCTGAGTCAGCGCATGCTCAGTGCAGCAGATCCCGAGCTGACTGGCTCTGCGCAGTCTCGCTGGATGCTGGGCTTCCGGACCTATGTTCTCTTGCCCTGTGGCTTGCCAGGCGCTCCCGCTCCCGCAGGCCATTTCTGGCTGTTACTAGCCAGACTGACCTTCCCGCCTCTGTGGCCCTGTCCCTCAGTATACCATATGTTAGACCCGTGCCCATTCGTTACACTGAGATGGACCACAGCTGTGAATGCTGCCTGCCGTCTGGCCCAAGAAGTCCTAAATGTGCCACGTGCACCCAGTAAGTGTGACTATGGTTCCCCTCAGGGTAGCTGTGCCAAGGGGTGGGGGCACTAGCCACTCCTCCCATCTGAAGGCCTCACTGGAGGATAAGGGCCTTGTACTTAACCAGTGTTTGCACAGAAAACAGGCATGCGGTCTGCTGCTAGCGGCTGTGGTAGGCTAGATAGCCAGCTGGGTGCTGCCCATCTCCTTGACCTAGACACTCTGGCTCCTTGGCCATAGCAGCCAGGGCTTGACTCTGGCTGTTCAGTGAATGCATAGGCTGCCAGGCAGTGCTCATGTGGACATTAAGAACCAAGTTGTGTCAACCTAAGAAAATGGAGTTCCAACCCGAATACCAGGGAATGTGATCTTATTTGTAGATAGGGCCTTTATAGAGGTAGCAAGTTAAAATTAGGCCATTAATTAGTGGGCTGGTGCCTTTTAAGCAGAAAGCCATGTAAAGGCAGTTAGGGAAGACTGCATATGAGAAAGTGGATTGGAGGGATATTTCTCCAAGCTGGAAGAGTGACATGGGACAAGTCTCTCCCTATAAGGTTCAGAGGGAGCATGGCCCTGTCTGACACACTGATTCAGACTCTGGCCTCCAGAAATGTAACACAATAAATAGCAGTTGTTAAGTTTGTGGTACTTTGTCATGCAGCCTTAGGAGATGTGTACACACCATTGTATCTAATTCAATTGACATAATCTCACGGAGCCATAGTTATCTTCCAAAGCTTCTGGATGGTCACACACTTGTTAGCAATTTCAGGGTTCTCATTCCAGGCCTACTACATGTTTTTCTTTTCTTTTTTTTTCTCTTATTCATGAGCCTCTGGGTTTTTTATTCAAATACTGATAGGCTTGTGTGTCCCTATTTAAAACATTTTAACCTTCTTGAGGAAAGAAATGCATACATATAAGTATGTGTGTATATATGTATATGTGTGTAGATATATATGTATTTACATGTACATATATATATTGAATAGCATTTCATATGTATTCTAACTAATGCCAACAAGAATGACTTGCCTTTGAATCACCAAATCAGAACTTACCATCATTTATTATTTGTAAAGAAAATCATCTTTTCATTATAAATTTGCATATGCTAAGATTGACTAAACTCTTTAAATTTGATTATTTTTATTGATGTGCTAGAAGTCACTATAGTCACTACATAACTTTAGATTGTAGTGTCAGTAACATCTGATATGTTTGATCAGACATATTTGCTAAGGGAGAAACAAGGTTATCTTTTCCAACTCCCTGTCACCTGGGTGCACTGCTGTTGAGTGTATATGTGGGAACCCCCATCTACCCCACTTACATGAGCCCAAGGACTTTGGCCCTGGTAGATACAAGTCTACCATCTTCAGGTGATAAAAGAGAATTGGTGGCAGCCCAAGACCTGGATGGGTTCAGCTTCACTTGGTGCCACCCGCAGGTGTGTTTTTGCGGTAAAGATGGTAAGCTGAGCCAAGAGCATATCTGGTTCTCAGACACAGAACAGCTAATGGTTTATACTTTTATTCTGTTTTGCTTTGTTCCATTGGCAAAACAGGCCAGAGGAAGGACAGCAGAGCCAAAGCTAGGACTTCCAAAAAAAGTTTCCCCAGAAGCAAGTGGTTCTGTACCTCCAGCAGGGTTTTGGTCTAGCTGCAGCTTCCTGCATACTTTTGAGATTTCATGGAACTCAGTTTTCAGAGTGACTGAGTTTCTCTTGGTTGGATCTTTGGAAATATCAAAGAGTAAAGGCAGGTAGTGATGAGTGACAAAATTCCCCAAGCACAAGGGTGTGCACCTTCTGGGGTAAAGTTGGGGGTGAAGAAAAAGGCTTTCCAGATGGATGTGCTGTTTCACAGATTCTAGAGCATGGCCACATTGGGGAAAATGTCCGTATTGCTTGTTGGGTCATCAATCTCTTAACCAGCCCATACCACCTCAGGCCATCACAGGATGCCTGAAACACATATACCTCCTTCTCAGTTGTTTGCTTTTCTTCCCTTGTAGATATTTCTTCTATGAATTGTGCTCCCTGGTCTGATGTGAAGTAGGCAAATGCATTATTAGCCAGTCTCAGCTCATCTAGAACTTTCAAGATAGGGCCAACACCCCCAATACATTTCTTCCACAGCATCTCCATAAATGCTGTGTTTACCTTTTCCTGCAAAGTCCTTGGAGAAGAGACAGGCCCACTACATGTTCTAAGCCACCATGCTATGGGCCTGCTAGATTCTGCTTATTTTCTTTATGAAATTTGGCCAAATATACGTATCTTGGTATTTGTGACTTACAGGATCCAAGATATTAACATTGTTGATAAAGAGTGTTTAGAGCAGAATCTCTGCAAGCTTTGCTCTGTAGTAAGGCCTGATGACTCAAAATCAGTGGCAGTGTTGATCTGAAAGTCCCCACCCTGGGCCATGCTTGGCTGAGACATGCTTGAAATAACTTGATAGAAAGTGAACTAGGCCCTGGATCCACAGTGGCAATCAAACCAAGGCATTTTTTCTCAAATGATCTTGGACACAGCCCCAGAACCTTTCTCAACACTGTGTTCAAAGCAGTGATAGCATGTAATCTAAGATAGCTGGAGAGATGAAACATGCTTGCTGTTGGTTCTGATCTTTTCTGTTAACTTACAGTGAAAATTTAGGAAACTCATCCAACTTCTCTAATCCTGAACATAGTTATCTGAAGAGTTTTATAATAATCTACCTTATGTACATAGAGACCACCCTTACATGTTAGGGCAAGTGCATGGGATAATAACAAAGTTCTAGGAATGACACTATACACCTTGCCTCTTACAGCCTGTTTCTACCAGGACCCAATTAGAACTCTTATTCTAACAGGACCAGAAAAGGGAACATAGCAGCAACACTGAATCACAGTGCCTAATGGTGTCCTAACAGGGATATCGTGAAGTACTTTTTCAGTTAGGATAGGAATCCTACTGTTGTTTTATCTGAATGATATTGAATATGAATTCCTAAGCTAATAGGGAAAAGACTAACATTAGTATTTCGGGATTTCCCATCCCAGGGAAGAAAGGCCAATGTGGTGATCCAAAGACCCTTCAGAAAGATTATGTAGAACTGGGAGAGACGGGCAAGAGAGCTCATGTTCAGGGGAGATATTTGGACTGGCTGTCCTGGCAGGTGCAGTTGCCCTTGCTGGGGAGGCAGTTAGGACTGTGTGAGAAGCTCCAGAATCAAAAGCCAAAATAGAGCCTCAGAGCCTAGAGAAGCAAGAGAAAGAAGGCCACTGCTTCTGGCCAAAGACTGGCCCTGCTGAAGACCAGATACTGGAATATACCATTTCAAGCTCTCCAACAGGCAGGACTAAAATCCGCACTCCTTAACGCTTACTGGCACAAGATCTTCCCTTCTTTGTTGTAATTTCAGAAAATGAAATCGTTTCATCAAGAGTCCGCATGCCTTTTCCCACATCCTTATCTATACACTCCCATTGTTAAAGGAACATAGGGTTGCTCCTTACTTGGGGGGTGTGGCCAGGTATGCTGAAAAGAATAAGGAATGCAAGATCAGGAGACCTGGAATACAGTTCTGCTTCTATTCCTCACTGTGCAAGCACCCGGCTTCTCTGTAGGAAAACAACATTAGACAGGATGGGCAAAATTCCTTTGTGGTTGCCCATCTTCAGATTAACGAATCCTAATCTGTTCTTCTCTGGACATAGATTCCCATGAATAACTTTACAAAAGAGGTGGGAAAATCACAAGAGGGTATGCTCAACTTCGGTTTGACTCCTTGAAGAGGCTCTCTGGATTTCCTTTAAGATCAGCCAGCTTTTTTGTGGGCACTGGGAACAATGTTAATTTGCATAGTTTCTTTAAACATCCAAATGGATACCTTTCAGGTTGAGCAAATGAACGTGACATGTGATTGCTTCTAATGATTTGCAACCCAAGAAATATGTTTAATAGCCCTCTCTTTCCAAGCTACTTTTGTGACATTAGAGACCATTTACAACAAAGCTGTCTTCAGTAGTCAAACTTAATCCTTACTAACCTACCTTTGGGAAATGAAGGGATTTTATAATGATCACATAAAACCTTATGTGGTTTGAAAGCCCCAAACTCTGGACAAACGTGTGATGCTCATGTAACAAAAGAAACATATTATAAAACTCTGCACTTTAAGTGTTTTACATATGGTTTGCTTTTAGGATAGCATCTCCATTGGTGAGCTTTTGCTAATTAACAGAATTGATTTTCTTAGCCCTGGTATTCCCATAAAGGTTGATGCCAAGACCTGTAGTCTGTGCCTTGGGCTTGGGTGAGGCTGAGAGCCCAGAGTGCCCTGGAGGAGAAAGCCTAAAATGTGGGGGGGCGGGTAGTGTTGAGGGGTGGGGTGGAGGTGGGTAA